GGTGGAATTCAATTAAAGAATAATGTGTATGAAAGACAGTTAAAATAACTAGAAAAATTGGTAGGCTCTAGAGTGACATGGAAAAATCATAATGGTACTGTATACATGTGTTCACTTTCACAGAGAGGATCTCAAAACAAACACTTTTGCAAACAAGTGTCAAGACAACTCCATCATTGTCACAAATTTAGAGAGTTAAACTGAAGCACACACTGGGAAAGCAATTTGCTTACAGCTGTACATCAGCTGAATTGAGAGGAGAACCCAAGATGTATCATATCCTTTTGACAGAGTTCAGTCCTTCACACAAGAGTCAAGTAACATAGTGCCAAAGCAGATACTCCTCTTTGTAGTGCTCCTGGCACCAGTCCCCCTTTTTTAGCCCTTTGAGTTACTTATCATTGTACTGCAAGCATGCACCCCTTAAACTTCTGTTTCCCTTTCAGTTTTGAACCTTATGCTGTCATCTGACTTCCTGAAGTGCCTACTATTCGTGTGATAAAGCATGTTGTCTATACTAACCCTGATGTCAGTTTTACTGTTACTCCTAATCAGGGCTAGTTACACCATCTTGGCTTGACAGTTTTATTTAATTGCATAATTTGCCACCAAATTACTTTTGAAGTTAATTTTGCAGCTGTTTGCCTATTAATAATTAGATTATGCTCTTAAGGAAAAACATTCCATGAAGGTCTGAGGATTGATGCTGATCCAGACATCTCTAATGGCAGTTCATAATTAATTTTCTGTTTCTTAGAAGCTTGGCTGGTAGAAATGTGTCCCATTACTGTTAGTATGAATGTTTGTTCTCAGCTCTTAAGTAGTGGTCAGTGCAGAGATACAATTCACCTTGAGTTATCTCTTCCCCAAGTCCCCTTTGCTCTAAGCTGTAGTCAGAGGACTTTAATTTGCTGGAAAATTAAACCAGCCCAGTTCTGCTGGCTGGTATATTGCAGAGTCAGCATAAATCAATAAAAAACTGAATGCTTTTCACATTAATTGTAGTTTTGATGAAGATTACAATTACTTTTAATGATTAAAAGAATTGCTACTGTTCTAATTATTGCGTAGTACAGCATACACATATTTATGCTTATGACTTCATTGAGAAGGCTTGAAAACAATTATAAGAAGTAGAAAGCCAAAGATGCACTTCCATGGCAGCAAATATTTTGAAAAGGGGCTTTAAGTACAGCCAAAACAATCTCTTGGAAACCAGTATAAGTACCAGTAAGTCAGCTAAATATTTGCAGAAGAGTCTTGGTCGCAGGCATCTGAGAAAGTTGGCAGGTTTATACCAGACTTGGTAGAACTAGAGCTTCACTGCAGAAGAGACTCACGTTCACAAGGATGATAGTCCAGCACTCAGAGAATGAAGTATTCTGCTTTGGATACAGTTCTGAAAGCTGCTGCTGAATTACCTACATAATTTGTCTGTTACTTATGCATGTCCTGCAAAGGCCTTTGATCTGTGTTCGTTTCTCTGAAAGCTGAATGATCTCATTGTCAGATTGAAACACAGTCAGCAGAGAGAGCTGTTGCAGGCATCAGTGTAGTAACAAACTGATACTGGAAATAATGGAGAGAGAGAGAGAGCGCAACCTATTTTATGAGGTCCAAACCACTAGGTCTTACTGGAAGAAGAAGTCTGTGTTTTGTAATTGGAATGGGAAAACAAGTTGATATGGTTTTCTTCTAATATAAAGACTATGCACATGATCCACTGGTCAGTGAAAAGCCTTCCACTCCCACTTCAAGTCCTGTTCCTGAATGTCTCATCAAATGTCTCATCAAAAGAGATGATGATGATGATGATTATTATTATTATTATTATTATTTCAATCCTCCAGCAATTACATAGTTAATTCAGCCACTCAGGTAGATAACAGAAAGTTAATTTATAATGTTTCACAGAAATCATTCCAAATATTTGGAACAACAGAGCATGCTAATTATCACCAAAGAATCATGGCAACTACAAAACAATTGCATGATATAAACAAGTTTACTGATTGATAAAAAAGATTTTACTATTTCATTACATTTCAGCCTTCTTCGAAGGCAAACTTCATTATGTTTGGAGAAGGAATCCACCTTCACTCCAAATCCAACTAAAATCTGCCCTATGTTCAGTAAGTATGAATGGAAGATCGTGTAAGACAGCATAAAACCATGATAAATAATTTTGTTTGTTTAAAGCTGTGTAGTAATATTTCTGAATAGAAAATTGTTATCTGAGTTCTGAATAATAATAGAAAAATCTCCAAAGTTAAAATAACAATATGAAATAGAAAAATAACTGAGGTGGTTCTATATTCCTAAATGTCTCTTGAACACTTAATTTGGGAATACTCAGTTGAAAAGTTGAATTGAACCACTCCTGGATTTGAATCTCTGGTACATCTCTTTTTGCCATGGTTGTTGAATTCTGATATGAACAGAACCCCAGTGGAAACAGACAGGGAAAGGATAAGATGGGAAAAATAAACCAAACAGAGGGATAAAGATAGTCAGAAAGAAAAATGAGGATGGGAATTCAGGTTTTGGAAGAAAATAGCTATTAGCAACTGAACAAGGTCCATAAAGACAATTCAAAAGACAAATGCCTATTAGACTAGAACTAGGCGTTTCTACATCCTGGGAACTTGTAAGACTTGCATGAGGTCTCCCTTTTGAACACAATATTGACAACCTCACAAAAGTCTTGAATCAGTCTCCAAAACCATGACATTTACCACTGTGGTTTGTTTTTTTTTTTTTCCCTTGGATGTCTTCTGCCTAAATCTAGCTTAGAGAACAAGGTCTATACAGCTAAAACGTCTGTGGGTCTGTCAGTCCTTCAGTAACAAATTCTGAATGCACTGCTTGGTTTCCACCATGTCACAGCTGACTGATGCATACACACTATCTGGCCAACCAACTGATGGCTTTTGATTCACCCATCTTTCCCTCACTAGAGACTCTCCTCAATCACAGAAACGCAGTCCCCATGTGTTTGAAAGACTAAGTTACTGTATTAAAATGAAACTCGCTCTGAATCAAATGACCTGGATAGGTCTCTAAAAAAGACCTCAAGTATCACAAATGTCATGATAGATCCTAACATGTAGTGACACTGTTGACATAACTGAGGTAGAAAGGTTGCCTTCTGGTCTTTGGTGGACCGTTGTCCTGTATACACTCCAAATAAGTTAATCCTCAATTTTATCATCAATTAATTGATATGATTAAAGCAGGTATGATGTGAACAACACAAGTGATGAAATTACAACTCTCACAAAATCTCATAGTAATTTAGCCTTTTCTTTGCTAATCTTCAGTACTCATTGATTTTTCCTGTCTCCCTTTTTACAGAGGCTTTGCCCCAGCCACATCACTGTCTTCTCACTTTGTGTAGTATAATATCAAGTGTTGAGCCTGTTTTTGAGGTCCCTAAAGTAAAATTCTCAAATTGCTCAAGCTTAAGGCACCCAAAAGTTGAATAATTTTAATATTCCCTGGCTATTCACATATACATCTAAATATCAGGAAGGCAAATCTGTAATTCAGCAGACAGACTCTGACTGAATTTATGCACTCATTTCAATTGGTGCTAAGTCAGGGTTGATTTCACAAAATAAAATCAACCAAGCAACTGAAGAATGTTTATACTTTTTAGCAAGTACAGTCAAACACCCTAATGTGTTTGGGGGACGGTATGTAGTACTAGAAGATATCAGTGTCAGGACTCTAGGTGACCACTAACAGGCTCTGATGAGCATCACCTGGGTCCTCACCACACCTACACCTTCTGCTCATTGGTCCAGGAGCCACATTTAAGCTCATGCGAGGGTAGTGTGACCTTCCCTTGAATGGGTCAGAGGTGTGCTTGTGCTCAGTCCTATGTCCTGCTGGCCCGGATTGCTTGCTGGTCCTCCTGGATGAACTTTAGACCTGTCCTGTAGGTATCTTGTCTCCTACATAGAGCCTGAACTTGAGTCAGTATCTTACCTTGCTTGGAATTGATGATGATGCCTGTCACTCTCACCGGCCTAGCTGTGTTCAGGTCCTGCAGGCTGTGCTCTGGGTGGTGAGGACAGGGTCCTTCCCTAAGCTGCCATCATGCCTGTCGCTTGCTGTTGCCTGACAGCTAGAAGATACAAAACTCCCATTTGCCTGGAGTTCATCTCAGAGCAAGACCTGAAATGAAAATTTAAAACGTTAGTTGAATTAATGTGGTCTTATTAATTCAGGTCAAGCTCTGTTGATACTGCACAACTTCCCTTTCTCTCTAAAACCTGAACTTTTCATGTGGCAAAACACTTGATCCAAACTCTTGTAATCTAGAGAGGAGATTGACTGAGGACCAGGTCCTTGGAGCAGGGTAGAATCTACCTATTGCTCTTCTGGAGCCTTTTTATTCTTCTTTCCATGAGCCAAATGACATGCAGAAGTGCACATGACATGCATGTGTGTTACCTTGAGCTGAGATCTACCCACCTTTCCCTCAGCAGAGGCTCTTTCATACAGATAATGGAATGATTGCATAGGCTTCACCTTTTTTTTTAAAAAAAGGAGTCTAAAAATACTAAAACAAAATGTCCTCTGAAAAGAGTAGGAGACTGGTGTCTCAGAAACGTTAAATATTATGTGGAGGTTTTAAAGCCAAGGGGTCCTGAGCCCAACTGTGGTGTGATCTCTCTCAATTACTTCCTTGCTTTGGTTGTCCTGAGGCCCCAATCATGCTTACGGGTGAGGGCGGACCCCCGAAGTCTCTCCTCGACGTGGGACCGAACACTGAGGGAAAACCCAAGCCCCAGCGAGAGGCACTGTGCCTCTGCCTTTGAGGTGAGCACCCGCGGAGGTTGTCCGTCCCCCACGGCCCTCTCCCTCCTCCGCAACGAGCGGGAGGCGCTCCCCGCTCTCCCTCACCTCAGGGCGCGGGCGGTTCCCGCCGCTCCCCGCCCGGCGGCGACCCCGGGGCGGGGGGAGCTCGGCGGTTCCCGCCCGCAGCCAGCCTCGCCCGCCACCAGTGCAGCCCCTTGCCCGCCCCAGCTCCGCCCGTCCGCCGCCACACCTCCCGCCCGGCGGCCGCCGGTGCCGAGGGGCCGGGCAGCCCGGCGGGCGGGCGGCCGCCGCACCATGAGCGCCGAGTGCAGCAGCTACCTCAGCGCCGACAAGGTGCTGGTGAGCGGGTTCAGCTGCCCGCAGACGGGCGGCGACGCCCGAGCCGTGTACTGCTGTGGCTTCCAGGACGTCAAGTACTGCTGTGATGACCCCCACAGCTTCTTCCCCTACGAGCACAGCTACATGTGGTGGCTCAGGTAGGGGAGCGGCGGTGGGGAGGCTCCGGGCGGGCGAGGCTCGGCGGCCCTGGGGAGCGGGAGACCCGTTTTCGCCCGAGCTTGCCTGCGGGTTGGCGTTTCTGAGGTACTTGTAGCCGGGCACTTTCAGGCTGCCTTTGTCCCGCTGAGAGTAGCGGTAGAGCTGCAGCTGCTGCCCAGAGAGACTTCTGCTTGTGCCGGGGTGGTTTTTCAGAGATAACTCGTGATCTTTGTAAGGAAGCGCTGGGAAACGCTCAGTGCCTGCAGGCAGAGCTGCCCTCGGTCCTTTTGGTGTGAGGAGAACGGCTATCTCGGGGCCTGAGCATTTAAGACGCTGCGTGCATAAAGTTCCCGATGACTTTAGCTACTTTTCTGCATGTAGTAAGGTCATGCACTACATAACTTTCTACATGGAAGATGGCAGATAATCAGACTTGTGTGTTCTGGGTCAGTGTGAGGGTCCATTTAGCTCTGTCCGATGGGATCTCCAGCAGTGGCAGTGAGAGCTGCAGCCAGCCAGCCTGGCTGCTTGCTATGCCTGACTCCCCTCAGGCTCTCCCACACCTGCACTGGCTGTGTCAGGGTGTTGGTACACCTCTGTATGGTGCTTTTGCAGTCTTTTTATGGACTTGTTATCCCTGATTTCGTTTAATCCCTTTCTGGACTTACTTCTAGTGTCTGCTTCTGCAGCCCTGATGGCAGCTGTCACTACCTGCTGTTTGCAGATACATCCTTTTATCTGTTTTATACTGTTTCCTACTAGTTTTCTGGAGTGCCCTCTAATATTGCTATTGTGAGATTTAGTGAACAGCAATGCATGTTCAGTTTATGCACAATGTTCAAAATTTTCTAAGAGTTTGGTGCATCAGTTCTCAGCTTTCACCTCTTCAAACTGAACAGTCTTAGTAGTTTTGGATTATCAAGGCAGATGCTATGTCCCACTGATCATTTTATTTGCCTTTCATCCATACTGTTTTTCACTCCACAGTGCTGCTCTTAAGAGGTGCATAATCTGGAGCTGCGCACTCAGGGTGTGTGTATGGCAAGGTTTTACACAGTGGCAAAATGCTGCCTTCAGTCTTGTTCTCAAAATCCTTCCTGCTGGTGGCCAACGTTTTGTTGATGTCTTTGGCTGCCAGTGCTCATTGACTCCGTGATTTCAGTCAGCTGTCACTGATGATTCCAAAACTCTTCTTGAGTGCAGAACTGCCAGTTCTGAGTTCATTATCATGTAGGTTTGGTTTTGTTTGTTTATACATTACATTAGGTACACTAAAGCTTATCTGCATCACTTGTGCGTGCTCACTGAGTTTTCCGCAATGTATTCTAGCATTCCTTGCCCTCATAGCATTTGATTGCTTGTAGGGGCTTAGGTTCATCAGAAACTCAGATGTAATTCTTCTCCAGATCATAGATGAAGACACTGAATAAAATGTCTCAGCACTGATCTCTGGTGACATTTCTTTATACTGAAAAGAGACCCTGTGCTTTGCTCCTTTATTCTTTTGATCAGTCTTGAATCTGTAACAGAACCTTTTCCCTAATCCTGTGTCAGTTCAGTCTTTTTAGTCCCACCTTCAGTGTGGGGCTTCGTCAAAGGCTTTTTGAAAAATCTAACTCTGTCCACTGGGTCCCTTTATCCATCTGCTTACTGACACTTCATAGACTCCAGCAGGTTAACCAGGCAGTGTTTTCCTCTCATAGTAATGCTGACTCTTTAATGAAACATGTCAGGAAGCAGCCAGTGCCATCAGCTTCCTGAGGGCAGAGCATGGTATAACAAGGTGGATGCGGGTAGTGGCTTCACCATCAAAGGACCTGTACCTTGTATCCAGGTAAGGTGAGTGGGACAGGTCTGGGCATCATGGCTTGGGGATAATAGCCAGGGTCAGATGCAACCCTATGCAACCCAGATGCACTCAGTGCCCTGACATTGTGTTTATCTCTTGGCTTAGTGATATTATTCTTTTTTTTTACAGACCTTTCTGTCTTTCTAGGGAGAGAAGTCAATTTAGTAGTCTAGCTGCTGGGCTCCCCGCTAGAGCCCAGTTTTGGGTTGGAATTACACTCCCAGGCCTACCAGTCTTCTGGCAGAGTGGCCTTATGTAATGATGGTTGCACGCACGCCTTGGCCAGCAGTTTCCCATATGAATTCCTTCAGGGCTCTTGGGTGAATGCTATCCAGTACTGTGGTCTTATTTATCTTGCCTGATATTTAGTGTATAGTTATTTAAAATCTAATTTGGTACAAATAGGTTGAATGTGGGAATCTCCCAGCCATCCGCAGCTGTGACCGACACAGAATTACTCAGCTTCTCTGATGTGAAAAGTCATCCCCAAGTGTGCTTTTTTTTACACTTTTCTCATCAAATACCCATGCTGTTTTAATGTTACGATTTTTTTTTTGCATAGTCTTTGACAGTTTTGGTGGCAGGAGGCCTTTTCAGGATGGCAGAACTACTGAAAGATTAAGATAAAAATGTTCTTCTCTTGCATCTAGATGAAATGTTGTAGTGAAGACTGTTAAAGCTTGATCTTTTCAGACAGCACCTCAAAGAACTGGATTCCATGAGAGGCTTTAATGAAGCATCTCGCTGAAGGATCTTCCTTTACAGAGATTTTATAGGATCTGAGAAGTTTGATGGCTTAGCCTCCACCTAGGTCAGAAATTTGGGCCAAAACTTTGAAACTTCGGGATTTGTTCTTCTTTTCTTTCTTTTCTCTTTATGCTGGCCCTAAACTGCTGAAAGGATCTGAGGAAACTGCAATTGGTGGGGTTTTGGTTGTGTTTAACTTATGCCTTAACTGTCTGTATTCATTGTAGAGAATAGGTGAGTAAAAGCAATTTACCTCTCTAAGCAAAGTTACTGAATGGTTAGAATGGAAATTTCTGTTTTCAGAAGTTTTCCAGGAACAAATCATATCACAGTTTTTAGTTACTAACACACTAGAAGCCCTACAGTATTACAGCACTTTGAAAACTGTATACATTTGTACATGATAGTTCCATTCAGAGTTTAAGGAAAACATAAAAATAACATTTTCTGGTCTCTTAGAATGTTTTGATGATCACTGCCTTGCTTGTCTTAGTCTCAGACTGTTATTTGTATCAGTATGTAACAACCATATGTTAAAATAATCTTTCAACTGCTTCTCACAGCTTTTGAGGACATACTTTTAAGACTTGAAGCCCTTAAGACTTAAAACTCTTTAAGAGTTAGCCGAACCAGCCAAGGTGAATCTGGAGATTGAAAGTACTGAGGAAGGGAAAGGAGTTGGAAGCTCTGATGGGGGAATTGTTGCCGGTTTTGCTTTACTCTAGAGCTTTGAGTTTCTCATCCTAAATCTTCATTTGCTTGACTCCCCCCATTAATTTAAAATCAGTGACTGAATGCACCACCAAGTGATGTAGGTGGTATTTTAGGGATTACTTTGGTTTGGTGACTTACCAGGTAAAATTTCAGAAAGCTATTGCATATTTATCTTATGTTTTTCCTACTGTGGGAGACGCGTTGCCAGACCACTTGGCAGCCAGCTCTGACAGAAGCAGTTCATGGAGAAATCAGCACCCTAGGCAACCTGAAGCAATAGCCCCATTGTAGGCCTATGATCTTCTTTTTGCCAAATCATTACTGCCTGTACTATGTTTAGAGCTATATACTGCACTGCCCCGTAGCAAAGTAGAGCTATCTTTTTCCCTCCCACTCCTGCAAATCTGCGATCTTTGACAAGTGCATCCTAACACCTGCTGTACTAAGGAGCTGCTGGACAATCATAAATAATTGAGCTTTGAGCAACTCTGACACATTTCATACTTTCCCTCGAATTTATTATCTGCAATTAATTTTATTAATTTCTCAATTATCCTTTTTTTTTTTTTGCTGGTACTTAAATAGTATAGTATCTTTTTTTGTTAGAGCAGCCTAAGTTCCTTTTCCACATTTCTTGAAAAGCTGACCTCAGCAAAGAAGAGTGAAGGATGTGTTTTTTCTATCTCTTACAACAGTCAGGAGCCCATGGAACAGGGAAGGGAACATTAGTAAAAGGCACGGGTGTACAAAATTCACCAGAAAGTTATGCAGCTTTTGAAACTGTGAAACAAGATGTTATAAAACATTAGTGAGCAAAACACTGAACAGCTCATTCTTCAGAGCCATGTGCTGTGCATGTATGTTCAGTTACGATGACATCTACTTTACCTCCAAAGCTGAATGGAGGGGGAGACGTGCTGACCATGTAGCATTTGTACGGAACTGTGATGCAGTTAACAGTTAGCACCTTTTTGTTTCTGTTTTAAAATATTTTAGAATTATTTTTGTCACTGTTCAACTAAGTTATATTTTGCAAATTTAACAGCTTCTCTCAGTGTCTAATAGAATTACAGTATGCATTCCAAATCTGAACCTTCTGTAAGTTTCATGTAATATTGCGTATTTGATTAAGACTCTGGCAGGTCAAGTATGGATTTTATTCAAAATGCTTTATTAATTAATACCCATAGAACCATGGTGACCTAATTCTGTAGCCAAGTTTTGCTTAGTTGTACAGATTTCCAGGAGTCTGTTTTGGCTTTCCAAAATAGAAAATATTTTGCTCCTGTATGCCCATTCTTCCAATCTCCTGGGAGTATTTATCTGTTTGCTTTGAAAATACTATATATACAGCACATCCCTGCAGCAATGGCATTAGGAACATTTGATTCACTCAGATCCAGATGACTCATGAGCTCTCTTTTAATCTATCAGTGGACATACTGCATCTGCTTAGCCAATATTTAAAATTTCCCTAGCTGTTATTGGTGTGGACAGACTAATTTTATGGACTAAATATAGCTGTATGTGTGTGATGCTGAGCATTCACCAACAGAAATGTCGACGACCTGCTTAAGCAGCTCTCTGGACAGCAGTTTGGGGAGTCTCTCTGCTCAGTAAAGCCTTTGGCTGTGCAGAGGTATGTGGTACTTGGTGTAATAGCAGTATGAACATCAGTGGAATGTGTGGTATGGCTGTATCTTTATTGCATGGAGAAAGTAACTTGGAAGAATTATGTTTGGTCTGTGGATCTTCTACCAAACTTAGCATTGCTCGTGTTCGAAGAATTGTGTAAATGCTGCCAGGATTACCCACAAGCCTTCATTGCTGTTTTTATGCCAGGTTTTGGGGATGGGTGGGTTGTTAATGGGTAGATTCTTGCTTGCCAATGAGGCCACAGCTGTGGGCAAGAGTAACTTTTTAGTTTGCTTGTTTAATGTCAGTGCTGTCAGAAGACTGATTGTGTAGACACACCCTGAAGCCAGTAGACTGTTACATTGACTGCTGGGTGGACTATAAACACCTAGTGTTTAAGGTAAAGATGGGAAGATGGCAAAATATTTTTAGCAAGGGCTTATCTAGGTGGATATGCAGCACCACAATAATTGTTGTAGAATCTAGGGGATATGCTGAAGGGCTGTCTTTATATTCAGAGGAGGGTGATCATTAAAATGGTCAGTGATCACAGAATCACAGAATGGTTTGGGTTGGAAGGGACCTTAGAGATCATCTAGTTTCCAACCTACCCTGCTGTGGGCAGGGACACCTTCCACTAGGTCAAGTTGCTTTCAGTGTTTTGTTTCTCATAACAGTTTTAACTATTAAAAAAAAAAAAATAAAAGGTTGTGTTCTGGTCGAACTTGATTGTTCAGAGCTGTGGAAGGCATACTAAATTCCTCTGATTTAATTCAGTAAATTAAGAAACAACCCCCCAACCCATAACTTTAACCCAAAATTAACCTTAAAGAAATTAATCAAGTGATCTGAGAAGGTTGATGGCTTCAACACGTTGAGAACAATCTGGTATTGAAACATTATGTTTAAAAAGAGTAAGTACAAATGGAATCTTAATTTCTGGTTGATTTAGGTAGTATAATCCAGGATGTCTAGTTTTGTGATGCTGATCTCCATGTTTTGGGTGAGATCTTTTCACACTGTTGATGGATCATGGCAAAAACTTTTAGTAGCATATAACCTGTGATAAGTCTTTGACCTGCAGTAGAAAATACTAGAAAGTTCCCCAGGAACTGCTTTTCTTACCTTTGCCATTTGTAACTCACAAAGCATCTTACACAAGTTATGTAGTGACACTGATGATGCACTGGGCTGTACAATACATAGCTGTATTGTTAATGTAATTTTCTACAGCTGCATGGAGGAGAGCTACAACTGAGAAATAATAGATTCCTGAATAGAAAAAAAAAAATATCATTAATATGTACTTGATCTATTCAGCTTTAAGACAGCTGACTGTGCTTAATGTTTGGATAATGGTGAGCAACCTGTTTTGTCCTGCACTGTAGGCTGTTATTTAAAAGGAAACTTAAAATAGGTCTAATACTGACATGACAAAAAAGCACAAATACTTGTTTTTGAAGAGCTTTTGGGTTTGTATTACTTCCTCAAATAGATTCAGCTGTGGAGATTGTTCTTGATTTGATGGCTGCTCACCTCAGCCTCCTGTAGTGTCTTTCTTCTGTTTTGTCCATTTGGGTCAAGGTGTTTCAAGTGGAAATGCAAAAATGAGGCCAGAACCCAGGTGAGACCTCTGACTGTAAGACATATTCAGATGCCATATTAAGCAGAATATTGCTTGCCTCTAAGTTTTGTTTGAGCCAAAAAAAATGATAAGGAAAAAATTGCTGCATATATACACAAACATATAAGGACACTCTAGTTCATGCAGATGATAAATACCATGAAAAAATCTTCATCGGGGTAAAGCCAATCATTTCGCTGATAATAAATTATTTTAGTTGTGCATGGAGTTAAACGTTGCACAAGCTTCATTAATGGATCTGACCAACGACTAATGAGAGCTGCATGTTAAAGTCATACCGATACCTGCTGGTTTTATCCTGCTGATCTTAAGAGTTTCTCCTATGGACCTGTCTGTCTACCAGTGTTATGAGAGCTTGTAGAGAAGCTTTACAGTAGCTTGAATGTCAAATTCATAAAAACATCCTGAGGCACAATTCTTCTCATCTCCCTGCAAGGCCACAGTAGAAGTGACTTATCACTGATAGTGATGATATATAAAGGCATTTTTATCACTAGAGGATGGAGTTCATAGAATTGAAGACATCTATCTCTCTTCTGTCTTTTTTACATCTGTCAAAATTGTAAATATACCAGAGTAGTAATATAAGGATTTTCATCCTCAGACTCTCCTCATCTGTGACCAAAAGGCTGCTGTTTAATTTCACCAGAAGTCAGTGTCTTTGGCTTGGTCTGTAGAATAGAGAACTGGAACACAGAAGGCATCAAATGGCCCAGGAGAGGATAGTAAATGACAGCTAGACTGTATTGCAGTCAGTCCTTTATTTCATCCTGAGAATTTTACATTAGGAAAAGACTTGAAAAGAAGGGGGGAAATAAGGAAACTATGAAAGAGATTTCTGTATATACATATACTGTCTCACTGAATGTCTGTGGAAGAAGTATAAAGTAGCTTCTACGCTGCAGGGGTGGTATCCTGATAAAATCTGCATTTACTACTGTATGTTTGGCCTCCTGAATATTCTGTCTCTCTGATACCTTTGATATTGTGTGTAAATTCATCTTTTTTTTTTTTTTTACCCTGACAAAGATCATAGATCTCCAATCTTGATTTGAGATTTTATTGCAATAACACAAAGGCACAACAGTGACCACGTTACTCCACCCTGCTCTACCAAGCTGCTAAGAGAATTGAATAACGTGGCTCGCACGTTTATTTATCTCATTTTTTACAGACATGTTATCCTTGATGAGAAGTCTGTGACAAACATGTACTTTGCTTAAAGTACTCTAACAGTCTCTTCTTGCAATTAAATGGCATTTCAGACTGAAAATATAGCTTTTAATAGTCATGTTGTTTGAGAAAAAGGAGTTTGCATGGGCCATATGAAACTCTGGAATAGTTCTTTGTGCATGTGATATTTATGTAGTTTTATGCTTATCTGGGAATATGCACTGTGTTGGAGAATTTTTTGATCTTGCTGCCAATTACTGCAGTAAGTTACTTCTGATTTTCATAAACACAGTTTCAGTCAATCGGACTTGGAAGTAGTATGCATAGGTAACATGAAATGTCATGAGATGTTTAACGTCTGTGTAATGACACTGACCCTTCTGAGGGCAATGAAATAATGCCAGTTTATGTGACCTGGGTATTGAGATTCAAACTTTTGTGTGTAGTAAAAATACAGTCACTCCCCTGCCTGAGTAAACGTAATCTCCAGACATCATCCTGACCGTTGTTTTAATGGGTGTCCCAGGCTATAGTACGCTTAACTTCTTTGTTTTTCTCTCTTCTTAGTGTTGGAGCACTCGTGGGCCTGTCGATAGCAGCAGTGGTGCTCTTTGCTTTTATCATCACCGTGTGTGTTCTCTGTTATCTGTTTATCAGCACGAAGCCACGCAGCAAGCTGGATACTGGTTTAAGCTTACAGATGGCAGGTAGGACCAGTTGTTATTGATATATATTATCTCCTGCAGAGGAGAAGTCTTGTTCTGTCTTTAAATGGATGTAGAGAAATCCAACAGTGTGTATTTGCTTTCTGATGAGGACCTCAAGGTGTAGTCAAGCTATCCTGCTGGTTTACCTTTTGTCATGGTTTAAGCCCAGAGGGCAACTGAGCACCACACAGCCACTTGCATCAGGGATGGGGAAGAAAAAATAAAACAAAGGACATGGGGATAGAGATAAGGACAGGGAGGGATGACGCACCAACCAAGTTCACAACCAAAAGACAGACCCGACTGGGGAAGAACAAAAAAACATCAATCTGATTTGAACACCACCAACACCAATCCACTGATCAAACATAGCAGGACAGTGAGAAACACAACCACATCCCCAAAACACCTTCCCCTCATGTCTACCTTCTTCCTGGGCTCAGCTTTGCTCCCAATTTCTCTACCTTTTCCCCCTCTGCAACGCAGGGGGACAGGGGATGGGGGCTGTGGTCAGTTCATTACCTGTTGTTTCCACCACTCCATCTTCCTCAGGGGGAGGACTTCTCGCACTCTTCCCCTGCTGCAGCCTGGGGTCCCCCTCACAAGAGACAGTCCTCCACGAACTTCTCCAATGCAGGTCCTTCCCACAGGCTGCAGCTCTTCACAAACTGCTCCAGCGTGGGTCTCTTCCATGGGTTACAGTCCTCTCAGCAACAGATTGCTCCAGTGTGGGCTTCCCACAGAGTTCCAGCCTTCTTCGGGTGCAGCCACCTTCTCCAGCGTGAGGTCCTCCACAGGCTGCAGGTGGGCTTCTGCTCCATTGTGGACCTCCATGGGCTGCAGGGGGACAGCCTGCCCTTTCACTAAAGGCTGCAGGGGAGTCTCTGCTCTGGTGTACCTTCCCTCCCCGCCCCGCATTACTTCCACTGACCTCAGTGTTTGCACAGGTATCTCCCTCACAACTCCTTCTCCTCTCAGGTTCCCCTTCTTAAATATGCTATCACAGAGGTGCAACCACTGTTGCTAATTGGCTCGGTCTCAGACAGAAGCTGGTCTGAGTTGGAACTGAGGGAGCTTCTAGAAACTCCTCACAGGAGCTGCCTCTGTAGTCCCTCTCCCACTACCAAAACCCCACCACACCTGAATGAAATCTGTACCAAGCTCAAATGAAAAATTTAATGCAAGCTCCGTATATTTATTTAGTAGTAGGAAGATTGTAAAACTTTGCAATACTGAGTAAGGGTGCAGGAAATAAGTCACTTTATCAGGCAGAGGCTTAATGAGTTACTTGCTCTGGATTTCCTGTCAAGAGTACATAAAAAGATAGTAGTGATTTCATTCTAGCAATAAGAATCTCAAAAGAGATTTTAGGTGTATTTCTTGGGACAGGGAGGGAACATTCTTTTCTTCTTTCTTACTGACATAGGATCCAGTCTTTGAAACCTAAATTTCTTTGCTTCAGACTCAGTAGTCCATACCTTTGTGCCCAAACTCTTTTGGCAGATGGCTGCGGGACCAGTGCATGTAGCTAGTGATAGCCCACTGGCATGGGAAAACCTGTTGCTGCTGCTACATTTTGCTGCATTTGTGAAATCTGACTGCAAGTTTTGATGGTGGGATGGGGTGTGATAAGTTTTGTCCTTTGTCTTGGACTTCCTAAATATTTAAATATGGCTTCAGTAGTTCATCCAGCAAAGTTGTAGGAAGTAAAGGGAACGTTGTACTTATTTAGGGCTTGGAAGTTGAACAAGTTAAAAAAGGGGAATAATTACTGGGAAAAAGTCCCCACACCTCAAATTCTTTTTTTTATTTGCTAGTTTTGAAAATGCTTCCACACCTGCATGGCAATAAATGACCAATGACTTACTGTAATTACAGCCTATTATACATCAGTAAGCCCCCTTCTGAGTGCCGAGCTAACACAGTCCACTTCATGCCAAACTTCCTATGTCTTGTTTTGTTCTCCAGAGAATGCAGGCTTTGGTTTAAGAGTGGTTTATAGGGCTGTCGGGTAATGGAAAGCCTCCCTTTGGAGCTATATAAACTGAGCAAGCTGCTGAAGTGAAAGTCACACATTCAACAAACTGCTACTAATCTGCAAATTGAAAACTTCACACCTGTGCTGGAGAGAGTGGAAATAAGACCTGCTACCTAGAACAGCCTAAATAAACTCTTGGGTGGGATGAACAAAATGCCTAGTGATCTTTTACAAGATGGTTGTGTTCTAATTATAAACTGGCATTATGCTTTTGAACATGTTGCTGTTTAACTTGTTCTCTCAGGTTTTCCTGCTATGGCATCAGCTCTTAATCCATTGCCAGGACAGTAGTGTTGTTTTTCTCATGCTTTACTTTTTTGCGCCAGGCATGTTTGGCATGTAGGGAGCTGGGAAGGAGGCAAGTGCTATTGTACTGCGGCTGCCAAGTGATTCCATCTTTCTCTGTAGACTCGAACCCTGCTGCAAAACCACACCCTGCTTTGGCATTGGAGATTGTTCCTCTCTCCCTGTCATGAGGTGAACAGCATCCCAGCTCCCTCACTGATGGCCCAGCAGGGTTCACATAAGCATCCTGTTTCTCATGATTCCGGGTGATACGACTCCAGAAAGCAGAGAGAACTTTGCTTTTCCTAACCATCTCCTGTGTTGTTTGGAACTTTATTTGGACTGCATTGCTTTGTATTTAAACACTGTTTTGACTTTGCTCTCATCCTGTGTTTTTCATTTCTATTATTCTGCTGCTTTGGCTGCTCTGAATGACAATTATTTCACATCTAACTTCTGATGACTTTAGCTGTTGATGGCGTGGGTTGCCAGAAATTGAAAGGCAGTTGCTTTGCCAAGGTTGAAAGATCTTTGAAAATGTTGAAGGATTTCATTGACAAGCCTGAGTGCTTATCTTCATCATACTTGGGTTTCTTTTGCGTGGAAGTTGTGCAAGGTCTGAGTATCTTATGACATGACTGGTTAGCTGCTTTCAGGCCTGTGAAGAATAAAAGCACCTTTTTCCTCCTCTTTCAGTTCTGAGATTTGAGCATAATCATATATAGGCAATAAAAGTGAATTTAAAAAATTAAAATGGTTTTTAGAAGCTTCAGAAAGAAAGTTTTAGGCCTGAGGACCATGAGTTTTAACTGTGAACTCAGTTCAGCCCTGCTTTTTCTAAACTAGCATAATCTTGCCTTTAGATGAAGGCTGTGTCACACAGGTGGTGTGCAACATCTGTAGCCCTGGAGCATTCAGAGAGCACTCATTTATGAAAGCAGTATTTTTAAATTCTATATTCTGTATTATATTATTCTATATTATATTATATTTCACCCATAATATATATGTTCAGTTGGAGTTTTGTATTTAATTAAACATACAATTGATTGGTGTATAGCTTGTTCTTCCCTGTGTAATAGTCAAAGTTGGCCCCTGTTATGTGGACACATCTGAGACCTAAATATAGTAGTGGAATTATTGAATTTTTACTGAAATAATTTAAAGATTGATCATAAATCTAACAATAAACTGGATGTGTGGCCTTTGTTAAAGTTTCTGATTCTGCAAAAGGCAGATCAGCTGGACTTTACTTCTATTTAGCCTTGAACAAATGGTCTTCAATAACGTCAACGCAGATATTACGTTTGTCATTCCTGAGTTGGCTAAGCACGTTGTTAGTCCTAGCAAAATTTAGAATTTTAGTCTGAGAACTGAATTTCAGGAAAGATAAGCTCAGTCACTGGTGTAGACCAGGAGTATCTACTTAAATGTTAGTGGAGTTATACTAATTTCTATTTGTAGTATCATAGTGTAGATCCCTTATGCAAGACAGTGTGTACAGGCAAACAAGAAGATCCCATATCTCAAGGAGTTTATAGTCTAGTTTCTTATCAGATCTAGTATTTCTCAGTAAAAATCAGCAACATGCTGTATTTACCTCTTTCAATGAAATGGAGAGGAATCCTTTTCTTTTACAGGCAAAATCTCAGCTCTTTATACATTATTTTCTTAGTGTTTGCACCCTGCCTCAGTATGCGAGGTTCACCAAGGATTTGGCTTGTGGGTTAATGGTCTGCCTTACTGAAGTGTCAAAAGTGCTTCACAGATTTTCCTCTATTTATCCTCATAGCTACCTTTCTGAAGTATGAAGATGCTATTAGCCTATCTCACAAGGAGACAGAACTGAAGGGAAGTGTCATATTTTTAATGATTCGTGTGTCAGTGGAATTTTGAAAGGACATCACTAACCAGAAGACCTTTGTCCTTTTGCTTATGATACCTCTAAAAATGTGCCTCGAAGGCTAGCTTGACACAGGACTTCCGTGGTGCAGAGAATTGAGCCATACTTTTTGAGACCAAGGTGAATATTCAAATCATTGGAGCATACTTTTTCTTAGCACAGTGAACTTGCTTTTTAATTATACAAGTTGCTCAGTAAACTCTTTCTGAGAGACAGGATTTTTCATTGAATGCACTGTAGGTGTTTCTGTTTCTCTCATTTGAAGGCTGGAGAACTATAAAAGTGTTTCTTCTTGGTAAACAAAGGCCCCAAACATTATGGATTTCCCCAAGATGAAAGGGAATTGGGTCATATGGTTTGTTCTCCTTCTAACAGAAAACCTGCTCTTCGTGCAAAAGGTTTATCCCCTTCAAAACGTAAGGAACTAGGGAGTTGCAAAATTGCAAGTGTTTTGTTCAGGCTGACTGAACAATGCTGGAGCATTTAGGGAAGATAGAGAGGACTGAGTAAAAATTGCATAATTGTCAGGAGAGGAGTGGTAATTGGGCAGAAAAGGAGGAATCTAGAGGCATATCTGCTGCTCAGCTCAGGAGAAGGTGCACATATACTTCCCTTGACCAAGCAGCTGATGGGAGAGGAGTGGTCATCACTGCTGGCCCTTTAGAGTGGGTTTTGCCATCAGAGGGAAAAACACAGATAGAGACTCTCCACCTTGGTGACCCAAACAGTTTGTAAACACATTTTTGGAGTTGCCCCTATGTTTCTACTAGTGTTAGTCTGGGAAGACCTTTGGTGTGAGGTGGCCTATACAGCTGCAAAGTGAGAATAGTAAATTACATTTTATGATGGTAACTAACATTTTCCTTTAAAACTAGCACAAGAAGACATCTGTAAAGCATTCCTAGTCAGACAGCAGGGACCTTTGGGATGGAGTGTGAAGAGCACTGTGGACTTGTAAATTACTCATAAGAGCTGGGGAAAATGTGCTTTAATAGAAGAGATTAATTCCTTGTTCTTACAAAGCAGTGACATCATAGTATGCAAAAGTTCATGGTTTCATTTCTTAATAAGGAAAAATTCAGTTCAAAAAATATCCAGATGACCTTTCTGTCCCTGTTTCTCTCCTTAATTAAGATTCCTCATGGGGCACTATTCAAATATAGGAAACGTTCATATATTTTGATGAAAAAGCACCAAACTCTCACACTTCTCCTTAGCTCAGTAGAATTATGTGACTATATTGATTCTGAAACAAGACAATGCTGTCTGAATTCAGAGACGCTGTGCTTGGGTTTTGGAGTATGCATTGATAGCTTTCTTCTCTGAGTTTATCAGTAATTTCCACTGTATGGTCTTTCTGCAGCTAGCCTTAAATTTTCCACAGTTAGGTGTCTTTCCTCTTTGCCAACTGCCTGCCTCGGATATTTGTATATGGGAAAAATCAGCCAAATGAAAAAAACACTTTTCTTCATTTCCTAAAGAAAAAAAAAATCCTATTTTGGAGCTGAGAATTCAAATTTAGTGGAAGGGTAGCATTACCTCAAAATTACATCACTGGGAAAGATTAAATTTGGAAATGTTTAAATTGGACTCTTTACCTTTTAAATTTTGCATACTTTCTTGTAGCAGTGAGTTTTTGGTACTTCATTAGGAGTCAGGTTTTTTACAGCAAAGATACCCATAGATGATGTAAATTGGTTTAGATATGAAATCTAGATAGGCTTCAAAAACAGGGTGCCTTCCTCTATAACTGATGAGGAATTTTTTTTTTTTACTTTTTGGGTTTGTTGTTTTTTTTTGATCACAGCTGAAATAACTTACAGAAAAGACTTGTTTTCAACTCATGTTTTGGCTTAAATATTATTGTACAGATTTTTTTAAATGTCAAATTATCAAATCCCATTTTGATATTTTGAAACCAAACTGCAGGATTTTCAACTCAAAATAAAATGCAACTTTCAGAACACTTGAAAAGCAAATAATTGCCCAATTTTCTTTGTTTCAGTTTTTAAAAATGAAAATATTAGAATTCTCAACATTTCATCCTCTAAAAATTGTAGAGGGAGAAGATTCCAGGAACTGTGTTTTTTCTGGTGCAGTGGGCACATCTATGTATTGCTGCTTGCAACTAAAGGAAGAATAATGCCTTTAGTTTTAATAAAACCACTTTTGTTTTACAGACAGTGAGACTAGAGGGAGTTCGGTATGTTAAAAACCAGAGGCACTGGATGGATTCTACCAACGCTGTAATGAAAATAGGTACAGTGAGAACATTTATTTTCATATCACTCTATTGTATTTGTATACCCTCTACTCTCTTTTATGTGGTGATGCAGATATGATAAGCATTTTTCAAAACGCCATGTTTCTTTATGTGGGTTTTTAGCTTTCTGAAAAACACCAGCAAACTGTCTTTTGATTTACTTATACATTGCCCTGATGCTATTCTTGCACAGGGACCTCCCTGCAGAGACTTGAGCAGAGTCCTTCCACAGAGAAATTCTTGGTTTACTTGTACATGAATACTCCATCATGGTTGTGTGCCAGAGAAGATTACACGCCCCTTACACTGTCTTTGTCCTTTCCCTGTTGCTGTCCCAGATGCACCAGAGCTTACTAAGGAGGCAGCCATTCTAACTTACCATTCAAAATAAGTTCTTCATCAGTGAACTGCTAGAAAGGCTCCTGTGTGACAAAGGGTAGGAGCAGTGACGTATCTGGTGGGTAGTTTAGACATACACTGCTTCTTGGGATGCTAGCTACAAGTGCTGAGTCAAACCTGGTAGAGAACTGAAGAGGGTTGTCTTGCAAGGAATGAGGTTTGGTGCGCTGACTTGATCTTAATATTGAAATCATGTTTAAAGGTCAAACTGCCTATGGCATTGACCATGCAAAATATTGTTTAAAATGTACGCTAGTACAGATGAATTGTACTTCAGACTTCAGAGGAATTTATGAATAATGCAAAAGACTTCAGATGGCATGACACTTGCATTTTACTTTCTGCAGGGGGTGAAAGCTCATGGTTAAACAGCTACAGAATGTGAGAACAGCCTTAGGTCAGCAATGTCCGTTCCAGAAAAAAAAAGGGGGCCTGTTTACTCAGCAGTTGTTCTTAGATGAGCAGGAAAGTAAATGTGTCAGAGTTCCCTGCTTCGTGTATTATCTCTTGTACCCATAAAAAAAAGCCGCCCTGTACATTGTAAGTGCAAATGCATCTTTCTCAGTGCTCTTTATTATCACCATAACAGGTTGGTTTGGGCTGCTTGTCCTCCTGAAAATACTTAAGAGTAACAGAACTCATTTTGAAACTCCTAACCACCTCCACACATTTTTTTTCTGCTGTTGCAAATGAAATGGCTTGTGGGAGAAAAATGCCATGGGAAGACTAAAAAGGATCGTGCAGTCAGAAAGCCGTCTGTAGTGAGAAAATCCAAAAATATCTGATGCAGGCACTAAGTACTGAGATAAGACCTTAGTTCAGGTCTGTGAATGTGACGTTGCTTTCTGAAGGCCACAAGCCTCTTATTTCCTCATGCTGCAGTTTGCCTGCCTTCCACCGTGTCATAGAGGCTAATATTTATGAAGTGCTCTGAAGTGTAGCCTGCTGACCGCTATTTCTTACAGGAAGAAAGAAATGGAGTGAGTTGAAAGGCTGGCTGCAAAAGACTTTTTTGTAGGGTTTGAATGCATGCGTTATGTAAAGATCAAAAAATTGACAAGCTTTTTTTGTGGATGAATTATCTAATTCTTTTTTGTTGACAAAATAAGGCTGGCATTATCATGAAGACTCAAAATACTTAAGACTTCTTTTTGGCTAAAACCAGAAAAACTTTGCCCTTAGACTGTGAGCCTTTTTGCTTCCAGATCCAGAATGGAGCAGCTGTGAAAATGAAAAGGGAGGCAAGGATCTTTTCTGAACTTCAACAGATAATCTGGTTCGGTGTCAGTAGAAATTCCAGGTCTCTAATTGTTTTCTGTCCTCTTCTTTTCATCTTGTCTGCTTGTTGCAGATTTCATTCCCTCACCTGTTATGGGGAGCCACTTCACAGTGCAGTGATAAGCCATCAGTGGCAGCAAACCTTCCACTGCTGTAGGAAAGCTACATGTGGCAATTAGATTTGATTTAGCATTCAGACTTCCTCTGCCAAATTCACTGGGTTTTAATTTGGAACAGGACCCCCCACGCCCCTGCAACTGATGTAGTTCAGCATACAATTCAAGCTTGTTTGTATGCTCTTTTCCAGAAAAAGGGCAAACACAGCTCTAAGCTTTTAAAAGGGAAATGAGAGGAACTAGGCAGTGGAGGCATTGCTTCTAACTTGGAGTGATAATCTATCAAATTATTAAACAATCCAGTTACACACAAGAAAAGTCTACTACAGATTTCATGAAGACAAATCATGACAAGCCAATCTAATTTCTGTCTTTGTCAAGGTAATTTTGCCTGTCGGATAAGTGGGAAAAAGTGGATATGACTACAGGTCTTTATGAAAATGCAGTCAAAGAGAAGTTTTCAGCAGCTCCTTCTCAAACACATTTTTAGAGGGAAGGATGTCTTGGGACTCCATCCCAGTTGAGTAGTATGAGGTTGGCTGAAGGACTAAAAGGCATATATATAAAAGTTATGGATGACACCACCCTGGGAAGGGTTGCAAGACTCTGGGGATTTTCTGGCCAGACTTCAGTGCACGTCCATTGCTTTTTGCATATCCGGACAAACATATGCTTCCAAACCCAGCTGTACCAACAGGTGTTGTGCTTCACCTCAGAAGCAATCCTGTTTTAATGAGCAGTAGAGTATTTTCTTTGTATAGGTATTCTTCAGGTGTACTTTGGAACATATTTTGGTATCCTTCAGGATTAAAGGCACACATTGTGAGTATGTCTCTCATAAGAAAAATATGAAATGTGCAGTTTAATGTAGATATTGGTGGTGCATTTTCCAAGAAGAAGTAGAATGCATAGAAATATTGGATGAATGACTCCGTCTTTATCTGCTATGCCTATATTGTTTTGTTTTAGCACCATTGTGCCTTGAACCTTTATCACATGCAAGGTGAAATCCTCACTTGCACATCAGAGGAGCAACAGCAGATCTACCCATCCACATACATTCCCAGAGGAAGCATTTAGTGTTTCATAGCTGTAGTGCTGCCCTTCAGAGGTGTAATTCTTCACATGATAAAGGTTAGGTGTATGATGAGATGTTTGGAAAGAAGTAATGCCAGCGAAATGGATTGAGCTGTGTGGTTTGTTCTGGATTTTTTGTATGATCTCCTTATCAACTCTGCTGTACAGCAGAGGAAAAAAATTTTCCCCTGTTCAGTCTAATTCTTAACTGTGATTGGTGTTTTGCAGATACAGAGCTGCATCCTTCACAAGGCCCCTACCAAAACAAGCTGTCAACAAAGCCAAGTGGCTTCAAGTGGTTTCCTGAGCCACAAGGATGGACTGTGACTGTAAGCACAAGAATCCAACTCACTCTTCCAGAGGTGTTTCCTGGCTATTACAACCACTGTTGATAACTGGAGTCCAACCTGAAGCTGTGCCAGGATATGTATTTGTGTATGGTTACTGTACTGAGAAGTAGTATATTGTGATTTGCACATACCAGCTACTGCTGCTAGTCATTTTCATGCAAATTGTTGTCTTTATCCTGTGCAATTCTAATGAGAACACAGTTGTCAAACAGAGCGGAATTTGGCACACCATGTTGACCAAGCTTTATTTTAAGCTTTCCCCATGTGCCATCTTAATGTGATGTCTTCATGTCATGAATATGGTTGTCTTTAGCTAAATGTGATTGTTAGGTGCACGGACATGTGTGAACACAGTACCTCAATAAAATCTGGCATTTCTGTTGTATTTTTCTTAATTTATCATTTTCCCCCACCTGTGTTTTCTCAGAAGATTCTCATGGATCTTAAAATTATTTTGATGGGAGCATTTTGCAACAAAAAAGTGAGGTTACTAAAAAAGTGAATTTTTATAGGGAAGTTTTGATTTCAATAACTGTTTTCATAGGAAACAGTAAACACTGGGATAAATTGAAATAAACATCCACAAATGTTTTGCAGATTCTGCATCAAAATATGTTGGAATGTTTATTTTGAAGCAAACTTTAAAGTTTTTCTATCAGTGTTCCAGTATGGAGCACTAATTTGTGTTGAACTTCAGCTAATTGAAGAGCTCCAATTGCACATTTTGTTTCCCCAGAAGTCTTAGGAACAACAAACATAGTCTTAACTGTCATATTTGAGCTTTCAAGATTTCAGCTTTGAAATCATGAACGTTAAGGATAATTTCTTTTTATCTTGTTGAGGGTTCTTCAAGATCAGTGATCAAAAGAATTTCTAAAATATTTAACCATGCTGTTTATCTTAAGGCAGTAGACAGATTATATCTTCTGTTTGCAGATGAAGCCTAAAATATTTACCTACCATGTCAGTTTTGTCTCTGGTTATACTTCAACTTTTTAAGACCAGATCCTTGTCTGCTGTTTGGGAGTGACATCTCTGTGCGTGATAGTGCTTGAAATTTAAATGTCTTTACAGCTATCCGGTATTACGCATTAAAAAACCCCAAGCGTTTCCAGTCTAAGCTACTCTTAAGTCACATTACTTGTGTGAAATAATATACCAGTGCCTCCAAAAGAAATAAAGAATGTGGTATATGGTCTTTATATAACTGCATATACTATCTCACTAAACTGGCATTTGTTACAGTGGACTTCTAGAAAATTAAAACCACATTGGATGCAAAAAGTAAATATTTTTATAACATTAGAACATAAACCTGATCTTCCAGCCTCATAACTTTCTTGATTGGGACCGTCAAAGCGCAGAAGAGAAAGATTTGTGAGTTTTGCCATCTGGTTTCCTTTGAGGATCCCAGCCCTGAGATGCACATTCTGCAAGTGTTATTAGATTTTAAATCACTGAAAAAAGACTTCTAGACCATGGAAAAAAAAGAGAATTTAAGTTATTTCAACTGCATGCAAACATGAACCAGCACTTTTGTAAGTTTTAAATTTTAGAGTATTCTGTTTTGAATGTTGCAGATGAAAATATCATTGATTTTTGTCTCTTGGGCAATTTCTACATGTTTGATTCATCAAGTGGCAAGGTCTTTTTCCCTCGGATATTGGGCTTTTTATTCTTTTTGAGTATCTTAAGACATCAAAGCAAAACCAGAATGAAAAAAAAAGGCTTCCAGTTCTTTGCCTATGTCCAGTGCCTGTTTATGTTTTGTGGTACTGTTAGGAAAATCCATTTCTTGCCCTTTTAGCTAGTTATTTTGTAATTGAGGGTTTCTAAATGTCATAAAAAAGTACCTCCCACGCTGGTTTGATTAGGGAATTCAGTATGCTGCCCATAACAGCTTTCAAACATAATGTGCAGTCACAATAAGGGTGGCTCCCCGTGCTTAATAGACATAATAAGGCTTAATGTAGTTGTTAGGCATAGCCCTAATTTTTGCCCTGGGAACATTTTATGCTTAAGTTGTTTAAATGACCATAGTAAAGCAAAGTGAGGGCTCTTCTGCCAGCATCAGCCATACAGAAGCTAATAAAACTCACAGGAGTTGCTATGAGCATTTTTTATTGTTTTTCAAAGTTGAGGAATTCTTTGAATCATAAGGGTAAAATAAAAATGGGAGAAGAATTGTGTAACAGTATGCAATAGGCCACACAGACTGAGGGATATAGAAAGGCAACTTTGTCTCTGCACATTTATAGATACAAGCAGCAGCCCCTGATGGGTTTCACTGGGACCAGGCTGCCTGGGTCCCAGTCATAGTTCTGGGACTGGCTGCGTCTTTTCTTGGAGTCACACTGGCAGAAGTGGCAGCTCACTCCAAAGTGATCCTTTCTCATCCCTACCATTCTCTAGATAATTTCAATATTAATAACTGGCTATTCGCTTGTAATCTTTAATCTGACTTTGAGTCTAAGAAGAAAATACCTAATCAATGGTCCCACAGTATCAATCAAATACTTAATGACTTTCATAAGTAATTGCCTTATTTAAGTGTAATTCCTGAAAGCTTTAGCCTTTGCAATTTCTAAATTATGGAAGAAAGACCAAAGGAAAATCACAGTTCTACTGAATGAAAGCAATGTCTGTTTTAATTGTTTTCCTAACATGACAAATGCTGGAGATCCTCAGGATTGTTCCATCCTTCAAATTTTGGAAAACATAAGGCAGGAAAAGCATAAAGATTCAGCTGGTCCCTAGGAATACAAATGAGAAGCTTTTAAATTTTCATCTGTTAGCCTGAAGCTCACAGAAGTCCTGTCTCTTAATTTGAGGTAAGAAATTTAAAATGTTGAATAGATGTAGAAGTAATTATAGCAATAAGGTCAGAGGAGTGGTCAATTAGTAGGTGTCTATGGAAGATCTACTTGTTCTTACGCATTTGCCTAGAAGTTTAGAAAGTTAAGAAAAAAATATAAATAGACTTCATATTTTAACAATTATTGAATAGTTGGATAAAGATCCATTAATACCTTGCATTAAAAGCAGAGGATGAGAGAGTTCTGCATTGGACAAGTTTTTGGAGAGAAAATTCCTATCCATATGAAGCTATTTTTGGTTCAAAAAAGAGACCGCTGCTAAACTGAGAAACTGAAAAATCTGAAAACCTGATCTGAACCACTAACACCAGGATCTGTCCAAGTTCCCAACAACTGGAGTAGATCTTTGGAAACAGGGTGCTGGTTTCTAGTGGTCAACAGGATTATTGCATTTAGTTTCCCTTTTCTGTCATTCTGTTGCTCCTTAGTGACCATGAGTGTGGTCTATAGGTAGACATAATTGATTTTTATATATGTGTGTGTGTGTGTCTATATAGCACATTTGTATCAAATGCCTTTGGGAAGCATCTATCCAGGTACCTCTGACTCCATAAGTCTCTGACCAATATACTAAGATTTAGATTTTAGGTATGTTATACACTCGTTACTTAAAAACATCTTTTTAGTCTTCTCCATTATTCCTATGCTTTTTCCAATCCACGTCCTTTAGAAAAACTGTTGAAGAGCCTTGCTTTATATGCAGAGGGGTACATTTTGTTATCAACAGCAACATAAAGTGTTGAAATTGTTTAGTGGAAAGGGCATAAGTACAAAGCTGCATATAAGCACCTTTTTTGCAACTAATGTTTCAGGATACTCTAGCTGAAGAGTATCTTATGAAACCAGAGCTTTCCTCTTTCCCCCTTGTTAAAAAGAAGCTGATGGCAATAGGATGTTTAAGACCTTATTTTCTCTGCTCCATCAGCTGTGCTGAGCATTACACCAGCTGGGTCAAGCAGCATCACCTAAAGGTTTTGGGAGAAAATGGGTTGTTAAGGCTTTTATTGGTTGTGAATGGACTTCTGCACAGGGTCATGGAGGTGTTGATGGGACAGAATCCTGAGCCCTCATTCAGGCAAAATCTGTATCAATTCCCAAAAGGGTGTGCTGAAGCAAAGCCCAGAGTTTGCCCCCAGCGTTAGAGGGAAGCAGCAGGGGAGAGCGGGAAGCTGGCTGGTGAACATTGTATGTTGTCAGTTCTCATATTTGCTATGATAATCTGGATTCCATAGATAACACCTTGCAATGACATGCTCCTTTGCCATTATTTCTGCCTCTGTGTTCTCCCTCTTTTTTCACACAGTGTGTAGCAGATGGAAACCCTTCATATGTTCATGTAGGGTCAAGAGAATATCAAAATGGCTCTGCAGATGGCTTTCAGATAGCCATGGGACTGGACTCCATCTGGGAAACCAGAAAAACCTTGTGAAAACCGGGCCTAAGGTCAGAACCGTCCCTGCTCAAAGTTGTGACTTACCCCAGGGAGGAGAGCAAAATGTTCCTCTTCGTCCTGATGAGTGACTACTCAGTTCTGCAAACAAATGTAAGGTAAGTATGTTTCCCTTAATGAATGCACTGCAAAATTGGATCAGTATTTTTTCCTAAATGCATCAACCATAGAAATTTCAGTAAATTGAGTCTTCTCTTTTTACAATGCTGAATCAAAATGTCAAACCAGCATAACTCAATTATAGGAGAGGAAATAAAGCAACATGCTGAATACCATCAAGTTATTTATGAAATACTTCAAATTGCCATTGCTGTAGCTACCTGTGGGAAATTAGACCAGAGAAGAGCATAGTTTCAGCTGTGGGAAAATTGACTCAGAGCAACTTGTTTGCAAAGTTTCAGAATTAGATTTTTCACCCCATCTGAGCTTTATAGACTGGTTGCACCCTTTGGTCTGTTACTGGTTTTCTAAAGAGATTTTTTAGGTGCAAAGAAACAAGGGGAAAGGAAGAATCAGAATTAATGCATCTGGATTTTAAAAAAGTTAAAGGAACTTGTTATTTTTTCAGTGCAATTTTGCCATTCATAAAAAAGATTGGTCACCCCTAAATCCTTTCTACAGAGCGGACACTATTGCAGCTGAATCATTTTTCTTTGCATTTTTAAGCAGAGATGAGTACCTTATTCCATATTTTAATGATGCTGAGAGATAAGATGCAGTGACTTTAATGTCACATGAGGTTGTCTGTGAATGCTTCATGTTGAATGAAAAGCCAGATATTTCCAGTGAAATAAATAGCTTTATTTATAATGAAGGTAACAAATTAAGAATCTCTCCACAATTAATGGGAGACATTAAGTACCTCCAAGAAATGCATTGGTATTCATTGTTTTTAAAAGTAATAATAACAGTTTGAGCCACCATTGAGAAATCAGTTACTAAAGATATTGGCTCTAATGACTACAGATCACCTTTGTAATATGATTCTTTTAAAGGGCAAGTTATTAGATCCTGTAATTTGTGAATATTTCCTGTTTCTTATTTTCTCCATTGCCATGG